TCTGTGTTAACACTTACCTCTGTGTGAATGCAAAATTGTCAACAACTCTCTTGTTGATAGCATACACATACACACACGAAAAAAAGAAATAAACATACCTACACAGTGCCAGCAATTGGCAGTGGCCTCTGCCCTGGACAAAGAAAAAATGGTGATTTTGGAAAAATCTACTACACAAAGTGAAGGAAAGAATCTGATTTGGCTTCATTATTTTGAAAGATGTTCTGGTGAATGCAAAGACTGTCTAATTATTCCTTTGGCATCATTTTGCTGAGAGAACATTTACACTCATAAACCAGTTATAGGAAAATGGAGTCATGTAAGAGAGGAAAGTAGTCCCAGAAGGCATTTATGCATTTGCCAAAGTAAAGGAAAAATGTTTTAAGAAAGAATTATCAAAAGTTAGTAATTACTATGTTGGTTAGTAATTCTAACGTGTTGTTTTAAAGAAATAGATAGAAAGGAGAGAAAATGAGAGAGACAGAGTCTATAGAAGAAATACGGAGACAGAGAGAGAGGAGAGGAGAGAAGAGAGAGAAAAACAGAGGGAGACGGATATCTCACTCTCTGCATATATATGTGTGTGTATATATATATATATATATACACACACACACACACATATATACACATATATACACATATATGTATACATATATACATATACATATACATATATACACACACATATATACATACATATATATATATATACACACACATAAATGCATACATATGTGGAGAGAGAGAGAGAGGGAGAGAGCAAGAGATGGAAAGAGAGAGAGAAACAGAGAGAGAGAGAGAGAGAGAGAGAAAGAGAGAGAGAGAACCAAAACTCCTTCTGTTTGTTCTTTAAATTGAACATCCTATCAAGCAGAAGGACTTCATAAGTATGAGATCTAATGCACAGTGGGATACCACTTAGTAGTCATCTGTAGATCCATAGATTGTCAGAGTGGTAAAGGACCTTACTTAATACATAATTGATGATAAAATCAACATCCTCATTCAATCCTTATTAGTAGAAGTATGTACAAATACAGTACAGATTATATGTTGTGTATGAATAGGTATTCCAAATAAAGGAAATTTTTTTCCATAAATATTTGAAAGTTACCTTTCTTTAAACACCAGCGGTGATATTTTCCCCTTTAAAATATCTTTAAATGGAAAAAGTGAAGTGTGGTAGCTTGGCTTTTGAAAATTATAGTGAACATAATTTAGCCTTTTTTTCTAGGTGATTCTAGGGGTATGTGGTATAATGAAAGGGCATTGGAAAAGAAGTGGAGAGCCCCGCTCCAAATCTTTAATCAGGTAACCTTGTGACAATGGGCAGTTAAATGAATACCCTTGTGTCTACTCATCTGTCAAAATGAATATGATACAGAATCCTTCTTCAAGGTCAAATATGTAATTCTCTAAGATCATTATGAGCAACAATTAATGAATTATGCATCCTAATTGATATATAATTAAGTAATTCTAGTAGAAGTTAGCAAAATAAGTCTAGGTTTTTCATTCCAGAGAAAATTGCAGTGCTTTAATGTTTTTTCCCACTTCTTATAGTTTCATTATCCCAAATATTAGAAGGAACTTATTGCTACTGCTGTTAATATTTCCTCACTACTTCTCAACTGCTTGCTTATTTTGACCACAATTATGTGGAAAGGGGTGAGACTTGGATTGGCTACATTCCTCCATTATATAACAACAACTACCACCACCTTTACTCCTAATCACACTTCTATCATGCTTTCAGGTTTGCAAAAGACTTTACAAACATTATTTCATTTGATTCTCACAGTGACCCAGTGAAGTAGTTACTATAATTGCCCTCATTTTATAGATGAGAACTCACATTTGAATTTACCAGAACTCTGACTTCTGAATAAGGTAAGTATTAATATGCAAAGAGAGCTTTGGGTATCTTCATGTTCAAGTAACCTCAACATATACAAATCACCAAAAAATATGAGTCACTTTTCACCAGCTATTACAACTTGACATTTCTATTCTATAAATTAACCAAAGCCACACCTTACACTTAGATCCCAATGAATCTGAACCATTTACATTTTTAGGCACATATTCAGTATTGCATAGGCAGTACTGAATAATCATCTTATTGATTATTAACCATAACTTGTAACCATCCACAGACATAGTTCAATTTACAGAACAGCAACATTTCTGAACTATTAACTATAAAGTCAATTTGTGCAAATCAAATTTTTTTCATTGCTTTCCATGATAGCAATTGAATTATGTCTTCCTGAGAAAATGTTGGCCTAATAATATGAAATAAGTTACATGAGAAACTGAACAATTTTTTTAAAAAACCCTCCATTGAAGGAAAAAAATGGCTATTTTATGAAGAAAAATATGGATGACAATAATGATCAAAATAAATCACAAAGCATTATTAGCACATTAGTAAAGTTACCTAATATCCAAAATATCCATGAATTGTCTTTAAAACTATATCTGTGCAATAGTTGGGAAGACTATAGTTTTGTTTCTCTGTCTTGAGTAAGCAGTCATATTCTTATATGCAAAGATTTTTCTTTGCCCTTGAGATAGTCATGAATGCTCATTTAACTAAAATCTTGTACCTTGGGTCAAACTGCAATGACACTTAAGGATACTTGATTTAGTTTGATCTTTCTAAATTTCTTTGTAAAATCATAGTGAAATAGTCCCTCAACTTTATAGAGCAATCCAAATATATCTCTTCCATGTGTTTATTTAAAAATACATACACACACACACACACACACACACACACACACACATAATTTTTCCAAGGTTGTAAATTCAGTATAGTCAGTTCCTCATGATCTGGGCAAGAAAGTACTTTTGAAAAGTGTGTATATTATGGAATAAGAAGTTAAGTTAATTATTAATTAGGCATAAAAATAAGTTGTCATGAGTAAGCCAGTGGAATGTCTTTTTAATGTTATTTTTTTTTTGGCAGGGGGATCCAAAGGATTCTGAATACAGTTACAAACAAAGAAATCATTTCTCACATTGTATGTATGTATGTTTTTGTGTGTGTGTGCATAATATATAGTGTGTGTGTATACATATATAAGTATCTGCACACATACTATGTGTGTGTGTGTATGTGTGTGTGTGCGCGTGTGTGTATAATCTTGCACTCATTTTGGGATGAAATCTAAATTTCCATCTCATAGATTCAGAGAATCTTAGAATAGAAAGGGTCTTTAAAATATTTTGTTAAACCTTTTACCCTATAAAGAAATCTTCTCTACAACATTGCTGACACTCTCTGCTTGATGCTTTCAGTGATGAGGAGTGCATTACTTCACAAGGCAGTGGATATTTTCATACATGTCAAAAAGCTTCATATATACATATATACAAATACACGATCCATGTTTTGGATAATATATATATAGTGTATATGTATACATACACTATATACATATGTGTGTGTGTGTGTGATTATACATTTTTTCCTTTCAAAAGGCATTCCTACCATTATCTATAAAAGCTGTATATAAAGAAATTACATTGTTCTTTTAAGAAATTATCCAAACTTAGCATTACAGAATGTTGGCTCTAGGGAAGAGCCGAATGGAAAACCAACCCAGTTCCCAAGCTTTATCTAAGGTAACTTCATTAGCAAATGTTAGAGCCAGGAAACAAATCTAAGTATTCTGATTCCAAATCCACTACACTTTTCACCACTTGATCCTTCTATCCAGGTGTTTATTGTCCCTAGAAGTATCCACATGGGAAATTGTACGTGGGAAATTCCTGCCAATGCTGCCATTAATAAGAACATAGTTTTGACTCCTCTTGGGGAAATCACATTCAGGGTTCCTGACAAAGTCTTTTGAATATGATTAGCCATGCTCAGTCATCCTTTTCAAGGATGTTCTTGACTTTTAGAAACAGAACCAAGTAATTAAAAGTCCATTTAATGTGGTAGATCATACGGGTTTTGGAACATAGATTTAGAACTTGAAGGTCATATAGAGATTATTTAGCCCCATCCCTTCTTTTACAGATGAAAAAAAGTTCAGAGAAGTTAAACAACTTGGTCCAACCTTATATAGGTATCAAGTGGCAGAGTAAAAATTTGAACCCAGGTCCTCTTACTCTAAATCCTGAGCTCTTTCCACTAGGACCCAAGACCAAGGTTTAACTTGATAAGGAGTTTCCTGAGAGGTAAACCACTGTTAAGGAAAAAAAGCACTGGCTTTGGACTATGAAGATCTAAATTCAAGTCTCATCTCTGCCCTTTTTGCAGCTGTGTAAGATAGGTACATCCCTGCCTCTTTGATTGACCTCATCTGAAATTGGGAATAAGATACTTTGCTGCCTGCCTCATAGGGTTGTCATGAGGATCAAATGGGCAAATGTAGGCAAAATACTTTGTAAATCTTAAAGTGCTAAAGTAACAGGATCATAGTTTCAGGGTTGGAAGTGCTGTTACATATCATCTAGTACCCCATCATTCTATAGATCATGAAACTGAAACATAGAAGTGTGAAGTGAATTGTTAAATGAATAATATGTGGTAGAGGTGATGTTACATCTTATTCCTTTGTGATTTCTTAATCTGTTCCTAAAGGTAATTCTAGAAGAAGAGTTTATGAGCAATGGCAGGCTCCTTAGATGAAGTGTTCTCCTCCTACAGCAAGTATTTTAACATCCCTCACTTCAACATAGAATTCGTGTTATTTTTACTTAAAAAAATGGTAGTCACACTTGTAAGATTAATACCACACATGACAATTCCTAGCCATCCTGATAAAGTCAGTTGTAAAATAAAAATGACAGGGACTGTCCACAAATCTTTCCTGGGTATTCAAGATATATAAAATTTAGTTCCAATTAAAAGATTCTGCTACCAAAGAATTGAGTTGACCCATCAAGAGGCAGGAGTGCGGTTAATCAAATACGAACATTTCTCACCAAGAATATTCCAGTCAGGGAGAAGAATGAAGAAGATGATTCTCTTTCCTACTCACCTTCCTAGAAGTAGAAATTCACCAGCCAGCCCTTGGCGCCTCATGGCCATCAGCAAACCTCTCACTGTCATCCCCTCACAAAAGCAGGCCACCACTCTTGCCTTTGGCAGGTGGCTGATAAGCTTCTTCAGGAGCTTGTCAAAACTCTGTTCCCCAGCATTGCTATAGATCTTGTAGGAATGAGCAATGCAGATTCCTTCCTTGGCTGACATGTCTTTGAATGCTTCCATCCCACTTTCTCCATAGTTGCCTGCATGGAAACACAAACAAGCACATAAGGATTAAGTAGACAGGAACTGATGCATCTTTCATAATGAAGTTCTCATTGTATATCAGAAGCATTATATTTCATGTAAAACATCTTTTAAAAAGTATATGAATATACTTAATGGGTCTTGATGCCTTTGTTATTTAATACCTCCCCCCCAAAAATAATCCAGATGTCCTGAAAAGAGCCATACTAGAGTATCAGATTTCTTGAAAGCTGCATGAAATAACATATTTGCAAATGAAGCCCACTTCATCCAAAACATCTAAAATGTAGGCGTTCTCAACCTGGGGAGTCCATGAATACACACATATGTATTCATGTTACACCAAATAATGATGATGATGATGATGGTGGTGGTGGTGGTGGTGGTGGTGGTGATGACAACGACTTCAATATAATCGGGTTCCTTTATAATCATACGTATTTTATATATTTGCAAACATTATTCTGAGAAGTCCATAAATTTCACCAAACTGACAAAGGGGTCCATGACGCACACATACACAAAATGCAAAGAACCCCTGTTTAAAGTTTCAAAAGCTAGCCATTTGCTCAAGTTACTCAGCTTGCAAAATACTAGTTACTCCTAGTTACTCCTCACCAAAGTAAGAAAGGTCCAAAGAACAACCAAGAGTCTAAAGAATGGAGATAGCCTACTTCACTCAACAGCAAACAATTCAAATGTATGTATATAATTTGTTCATATCTCTTCTCATAAGTGTATAAGCCACCAAGGCATCTCTCTCAGCATCACTGAGGGAAGGGATCTGCTTATTTTGCAAGTGACTAAGTATAAAAAAGGCCTCTTCTCTGAAAACTTTGATGAGGAATTTCAAGTTACTAGCTATATCAAGCTAATCTAGGGATTCTGTTATTCTCAGGTTTATTTTTAGTGAAATTTATGCCTTAAATGAATTTCTAGAGGAGAAATTGTAAATGATTTTAATTTCTCAAAGACTTGGATAAGGTAATAAAATTAATATATGTGACACTTAATTCAATGCCATAAGCAATTATTAAGCACCTACTATCCACAAAGTATGTATCACACAAGGTACTAAGGACTCGAGGGTCAAACAAAGAATACAAAGATTTGAGTCGATCAGGGATTTTGATGTTCTTTATATTTTTTAAAATATGTGGCATGTCTAATCTTTGGCCTATATTTCACCATCAACAATGTGTTTCAAATTCTTATATAGTAAGTTGTGGAAAAAAAGTTATTATGCCAAAATATTATGAAAAAAATCCCCAAAGTGATCATGAAGGAAAAGTATATATGTATGTATGTATGTGTATATATATATATATATATATATATATATATATATATATATATATATATATATATATATATATATATGTATGTATGTATGTGTATATATATATATATATATATATATATATATATAATTCCATAAAATATTGTATTTGATTTTTTTTAAAAGAAAAAATTAAGATAAATGCTTCTAAATGATGGGGCCTCAATGAGTATGTCAATAAGCACTTATTAAGGACTTTCTATTTGCCTTGTCATGGATTAAACATTGGAGATAGAAAGGAAAACATGCTGTCATTGCTGTCAAGGAATTCACATTCTAATGGGGGAGGTGGCATAAAAACATTTGTACACTTATAAGATATATGGGCATATTTCTCTCCATATGTGTACAATAAAAGGAAGTTAATCTCAAAGGGAAGACACTAACTTGTAGGGAGAGGGGAGCAAAGACTGGTAAAGGCTTTCTGGAGGAGATGAGATTTGAATTGAGTCTTAAAGGTAGCCAGAGAAGCCAGGATGTAGAGGTGAACAGAGAAAGCATTCCAAGCATGATGGAGAGGGTAGCCCTTGAAAAGATGTACCCTAGAGAGAAGTGTTATATACAAAGGACAGTTATTATTGGATCACAAAGTTCACGGAGGGAGTAGAATATAAGTAGACTGGAAATGAAGAAAGGGACCAGATTTTGAGGCCTTTAAATTACAAAGTTTTTTATATTATATCTTGGAGGAAATGGCGAGTCACTGGAGTTAAATGAGCAGAGGATAACATTGTCAGACCTGTGTTTTAGGAAAATCACTTTGGCAACTGAATAAAGGATGAGTGGATAAGAGATTTCAAGCTGGGAGACTAAATATAAGGCTGTTAAAACTGTCTAGGCATGAGGTGATATGAACATTTAGTACGGTATCAATTATGTGAGTAGAGAGAAGGGGCCTCATAGTATTTAGGTTTTCAGCATTCCTGATGAACCACCTCTTCCTGACTTTTGGACTGAGGCTGACTCAGACCAGTCCCGTGTTAATAAGGTTTTGGAAAAAAATGAGACACTTGCATGCCATTGAATAGTTAAAGTTTTTTACTCAGTCATAGAAGGAGAAGGGTATTCAGTAAGGTTAGAGATTGCTTACACTTTGACATGATTCAGCTGAACAAAGTCCCCTTACCCACATTTTCCACTTCGACACATCAGCCAAGCCTCAGACCCCTTTGGCAATCCTCTTGGTTGCTTTGTACTCAATCAAAGAAGTCAACAGTCTGAGCCTTTATTCTTGTAAGAAAATCAGTTCTGAAGAAATGGGTCTATTTTTTTTTTCAGGAAAAACTAGCCTAAAGTATATGGTGTAGGAGAGGACTTAAGATATTGCTTTTACCACACCAATACACCACATTAGGAGTTTGAGAAAATGACAGGACAAATAGAAGAGAGTTTATCATCTAAGCACCATAGATAGCTCTTTTCATGATTACCTCTGATTAAATGCTACTTAATTATTCACAGGGAATTCTCTCATGATTTTGATGAGGTATGCTTATATTTAATTTCTCTAATACTATCCCCATAATGAAGGTGCCTCTGGGGGAGAAAATTCATTTTACAATTAACATTCCTATAGAGAATCTTCCTTCTTCTATTTCACAGTAATTATTTCACCAGTTCTAAGGAAGAACTCTGTTTCAGTCTTGTGTTCTTTTTCATCTCATCAATTGTATCTAGTGGCAGCATCTTTCTAGGCTGTTTATCATGTGTACATTTATTCCATTTTCACTAATGAACACAGGATATATTCATGAAAATGTGAAGCTTAATGACAGCTCTTCATCTGCTTTTGTATCAGGAAAAATGACCTATTATCCAACAGTAAGTGCAAGGCTCATGAATAATCCCAAGTAAGAGTCCAAAAGAGGGCATGTAATTTCTTGTTACTCAGATTACTGGTTGGTGCTCTGTAAAAGAATGTTAGCCAGTCTGGGTTGCCATGAAGCAGTGCAAATTGGGGTGATGTATATACATGGCACCAACTATTTGGAAGAAAACCAGAGAATCTCTGTCTCTTTTCTGAATAATTGATGTTGGGTGCTGAGAAAATATAAGTGTATTGTCAATTTTGATCTGGATCTTTGATATTTTTGACCATGCATCATAGGCCCATATATCTAAAGATAAAGGGACCTCTGATGTCATTTAGTCCAGTCTTTACCTTCATTTTCTTTTTCCAGTTGCTTGTTGATTTAAGAAACTGAAGCCTAGAGAGATTAAATGACTTGCCCAAGTAGGAATTAGTAGAGTGAGTATTTAAACCAAGGCCCTCTGTCTCCAAAGTTATGTGTGTCACTCTGTGTATGTGTGTGTGTGTGGTGGAGAAAACTATCTTATTTTATAGGGAAAGACTCTTATTTTATAGGAAACAGGCCCAGTGAAGCAAAATTATGTTTCCCAAGTTCTACAGGTTGTACAAGGGAAGTTATTATTTGAAACCAGGTTGTTTCCATTAGAACAAGCTACCTCTTGGTTAACACAATTTAAGCAGCAAACCCAGTTTAAAAATTCCATGACATCACATACATTAAACACACGCACATTGCCCTTCTAAACTGGGCAATGTAAATCACTGGCATCATTTTGTAACAAAATTCATCTGTCTTGTAAAGAATATAAAATCTTTAGGGCAGGATTCTTTTTTATCACTGAATCAGTGATGTCTTGCACTTAGGAAATATTTAATAAATATTTTTAATTAATTATAGATGGCATCAGAAACACAACTTCAAGGAATCTACAAATATATGTGTATGTATATATATATATATATATATATATATATGTTATATGTGTGTGTGTGTGTATATGTGTGTGTATATATATACATATATGTGTGTGTGTGTGTGTATGTGTAAAAACACTCACATTTATGCTGTGCTCTGAAAAGAAATGTTTCCAATACCTTGTCCCCATCATAACCTACTACCCCTGGAACTATTTTCACCTTTACATTAAAAGGCACCAAACAATACATTAGCATCCAATCTATGACTATAATGAGATGTTCTTTTAATCTGCATGCTGTAAAGTGACAATACTGTGGCTTAAAAAGCAGACTCTCCTTCCCATGACTAAATCTTAATATAATATAATCGCTAAGTGACATTGATGAGATAACAGGTATGCCGATTTACCTCTGTGGAACAATAGAGGCATTAAAACATCTTGTTTTAATCCTATGAATGTTACTAGTGACAAGGAACAATTAACAAATAAGTCCAAAGAACAAACATCATTTTGATAGAATGGTAACAGTTCTTTCAAAGGTAATCTCTTGTGCATATTATAAGTAGATTTCACCCAAAGTTGAATTACTTGAGACCACATTTCAGCATCTAACTTTTTTTTAAAGCTATGACCTTGTTCCTTTACAGATTGAGGGAGGTAGAATAAGATTTGCTCTCCTGCCCCTAGAACTCTTCCTTGTGGTTTTCATTATGGGAGCTTGTACCGTGCACTTGGGGGAAGAGTGCCATGTTTACTGCTTACCCTTCTCCAGCATGGTTCAGTGGAATGAGCATTCATTCGTTCTATGAAATATTCCTGATACTGAAAGTTTTATATTAGTGATCACAAAATCCATATTTATTACCAAATCATCACATGGAGATGCTATATATCATTAAAAACTATTTTAATGTTTATTAAGTGGAT